GCTTCTGTTTCGACCCGGTTTTGGGTTTAGGGTTTAGGGCTTAGGGTTTAGGGTTTAGGGTTCACTCAACCCTAAACCCCAGGCCATAGGATTTTGGGTGGTATAACTTTTCGGATTTGTGGAGACTGCAGGGGAATGCCGTTCGGAATTATTCCGGCCCCCCATGCCCTACGGTTGATGATATAAATCCTGCATTCCCCATGCTAAGGAATATACCATAGTTCTCATAGTTTAGGATCCTTAATGGTAATGCAGGATTTAAATCTTCAACAGTATGTACCCCCACATTAAAAGAGGGGAGCGTCGTCAAGCTAAAGCCAAAGCGAGTGCCGTACGAGCCCTGACCCTCAAAATCCAACCCAAATCCCGATCCCCCCTAAGGTAGGGGCCTTAATCATTTTAATAGGGTTCTTTTAAGGGTTCTTCAAAGGGTTTGTAATGGCTACTATAAGGGCTACTATTAGGGTTTATAGGGTAATGTAGGGGCCTTAATGATTAGAATAGGGTTTTGGGGCCCATGATACTGTAAGTAGGATACGGAACCCTAAGGCATAATGTAGGTAACTGCTTCGGCTTCTTTCTATATTAGTCAGGGTAGAGGTCGTGCTATCCTTCAATGCTCAGGGCCCTACCGCTTCGCGAGTCAGCGGCAGCGAGAGGCTTGCATCCATGGCCCCAAGGTTTTTGGAGGGCTGTCGGGGCTTGGGAGCCTAAAGGTTCAGGGTCTTAGCGTTTTTTGGGACTTTGGGGGTTGTGCTACAGAGTCTTAGAGTTTCGTGTTATCGCGACTTTTTGGGCTTGGGTTTTAGGGGTGGTTTACGGGTTTACAAGTGCTGCTTCTGTTGTTCAGATAGGAATTTCGGGATTGGGCTTGTGCAATGCCCAATCTCTTGACCCCAACTTTAGTGCTGTTTGCACGCTAAATGAAACCTACTCCGACAATCTATCCTATAAACTTAGGTTAGCTTGATACACCCAGGGGGGCTGCTTTGTAACTTACCGAAGAATTCGAATAGGGCTGTTGGGTGCATTTTACTCTAGTTATTATAAGGAACCCCAAGAAATACTAGTTGTAACTATTCCGCTCCCTATGCATTAGCTCTCTGCTTCGTCGCGTGAAGTCGTCGGCTGGCTGCGGGAGCGACGACAAGGCTTCAGTGATGAGAACCAGGGAGACGCTGAGTCCGTAAGCCCTAGGTAATCTAGGGGCCTTGATAATTAGAATCGGGTTGTGTGGGCTCCTTTGAAAGGTTCCTTAAAGGATTCTATAATGGTTTAGGGTTTAGGGGCCTTAATAATTGGAATAGGGCCTAAACCCTAAACCCTAAACCCTAAACCGTTTTGGGGCCCATTGTACTGTATAGTCATATTCAGGAACCCAAAATAATCTAGGTAACTATTTCGGCCCCTACACTACCAAGATCGTAGGGTTTAGGGTTGATGCCTTGCCCCTGCAAGTAGAGGCTGCATTAGAGCGTAAAGCTGTGGACCCGTACGAATCCCTTTACTGTAGCCGGCTACAGGACGCTTCTCTTAGCATTTCGGTCTGCAACAAGGCCTCTAAACCCTAAACCCTAAACCCTAAACCCTAAACCCCTAAACCCTAAACCCTAAACCCTAAACCCTGAACCCCATGGATGAGGAAAAGCAAAAGCTTCAACGTGGTTCCTCGAATCCAGGTGTTCCCTTACGTATCTGCATGTTCTGCTTCCTAGCCTACAGTCCTCACCACGGATATCCGGCCTGAGTACTCCTACGCCATAAATCCACAAGAATCCACAAAATCATAGAGACCCTACACCCTACTAACCCCATGACCCCGTATAGAGAATAGCTATTCTTGTCCTCCCTCTGCTCCCTCACATAGCATTAGTCCCTACTCCCCTGAAACCGACACCCTCAACCCTGAATCCCGAAGTCCCACCAAGCCACAAAACCTGGATCCCTGTGACGCCGTAATATTTAGAATCGGGTTTTGGGGTATTGAAGTATGTGATACCTTAATTATTGTCCGGACCCCCCAAAAAATAGTGTAGGTCATTATTAAGGCGCCTGTATTCACCAAAGAACCCCAAGATTCTGCTGGGATCCGGAACTTTCCGGTAGCCCAAAGCTCGCTGGTGAAGAGAAGCAAACACCTCTCTGGAAGACGGGAGGGTTTAGGGTTTAGGGTTTAATTAGGGTTTAGGGTTTAGGGTCGTTGCCCCTAAATTATGGGGCTTTTGGTCACATAATAGGGGAGTGCTTAGACCAGAGTTTACTATAAGGCTGCATGTGCAGAGTCTTTAAAATTTACGCGGTGGTACACGGCGTGTATAGGGGCCCGAGTCATGAATAGTCAGAACTTCATGTGGGGGGTTACATGGTACATTTATTCTATCCTGACGAGTAGAAGGTTAGTTTATACCAATTATTCAGACCGATATCCCAGACACCCAGACCCTAAACCCTAAACCCTAAACCCTAAACCCAGGCAGATCTAAAGAGGGTAGTTGAAGTACCCTTTAGTGGTATCAGGTCCCAAGTTCCGGGATTCCCTCCTTTCATCCTCCCGGTGGTTTGGGGATACTAAAATAGGGTTAAGGGTTTAGGGTTTTAGGGTCTTAGGGTTTAGGGTTTAGGGCTTAGGGTTTAGGGCAACGAAAACATATCGCTGAGCACGTCTGTATTGGCTAGCCGGGCGCCGGCGCAGGAGGCGGGCATCCTCGTCATCAGCATGCAGGCTGCGGATGTGCTCGTTGGCTGCGCCCGAAAGTCCAGCTGCGGAGCCGCAGCTGAAACCTTAAACCCTAAACCCCTAAACCCTAAACCGCAAGCAGTGGAGGAAGTCTGGCAGGGGGACCAGGCACACGTGGCATCCTTGGGTCCGGTCGCTGTGTGATACCCATAGGCCCCATAGTAGTTCCTTTTTGGGGTTCACATTTAAAATCCTATAAGGCAATCCCAAAAAGGAACTGCTATGGGGCCTATAGGTATACCGGTATACCCGAAGCCCTAAGCCCTAAACCTCAAAACCCCAAAAACACCCTCAACTCGAAGATCCCTCTCTGAAACCCAAGAAAAACCTGGAACCCCTAATAAGACCCTTAAGCCCTAAAGCCTTGAAAACCCGTAAAAAAAAACATAAAAAAACCCTCAAAACCCCTGAAACCCGGGAGGATTCCCAGTTCGACTTCGGCTCAGGAAGTACCCAAACGTCAATTTCAAGAACGACTTAATGCAGAGGGTTTGGGGTTTAGGGTTCCGCTTAAAGGGGTTTAGGGTTTAGGGTTCCGCTTAAAGGGGCCTATTAAGGGGTACGATATAGCAAGGTTCCTTAACAAGGGCTTTATAAGGGTTTGGTTATTCGGGGGCTTTAGGGTTTAGGGTTCCTTTTCAAAGGGTCGACAGGGGTTACGATAAGGGCGTAGTATAGCCGCCTTACGAACCAAACTATGGTTGCTACACGGGTTACCTACTACAAGGGTTTGGTATAAAGGACTTAATGATTGGAGTACGGTTTTGGGGATAACATTCTAGCAGGTTCATCAAAAGGGACCTCAACTCCTGGATATCTCTATGATTACCGGTTACTCAGGCTTCTATGCTAAGCCGCACTTCTCTCAGATTGGTTCCAACCTCCTGAATACACCCGAAAACCGCCCAATCCCAACACCAGCTTATGACGCCTGGAAGAGATAACTCACTCACACCACGACACGACCCAACATCGAAAGCACCCTAAACCCTAAACCCTAAACCACAGACTTTGAGTTTCTCTTGCAGCTTGGAACACAACTCTTTGCTACTCATCATGCATAACCCAAAACTCGCCGGAGCGGAAATCGCGCATGGCAACAGCTGGAGCGTCGATTGCGATTAGCAAAGAGTTTCTCAAGAGTCAGAGCGAAAAGAAAATATATATATATATATATATACATACCCATGAAGTCCGAATATCAGCAATGCATGGCAATACCATACTGAAACCCAAGACCATGTACTATGAGGAATTACCTGGGAAAGCTCTCGGTCTCTCTGTTTGATTTCTGGCATCTCTTACGGTTTAGGGTTTAGGGTTCAGGGTTTAGGGTTTAGGGTTTAGGGTTTAGGGGTAGGTTGGCATTCTGCATTTTCGGCTTCAAGTACCTTGAAACTTTTACTGGGTTGGCCCCTCAAAACCTCTGAACAATATTCGTAAATAAGATCCTCTTAAGCCCAATAAGGGAAAATATAAAATGTCCCAAAGGCCTACCTAGTGTAGTTCGCACATGTCCCAGTGTTCATAGCTTCCCCTTCCCAGACGTGTATCTAAGGCCACAGAAGATCTTCTCAGATACTCAGGTCCGATCTCTTGGCCCATGTATCTGGGAGTTTCCGAAAATTAGGGTACCTTATTTGGGGGTCCTTATAATAAGGATCCTACTATTTAGGGTGCTATATTAGGGTCCCCCATTTTCGGAAACCCCCATCTGAGTCCCTGAGGCCCCAAACCCGAAACAATCAGAACTAGCCCCGCAGTCCTAGACCTGGCCACCCAAGACCAAAGCCCAACTTCCCATGAGCCCAAAAGCCCTACGCATAGGCCCCAGAGTAGTTCCTTTTTGGGGGTTACCTTATAGGATTCTACATGTGAACCCTAAAAAGGAACTACTTTAGGGCCCATGGGTACTTAACATGCGCCAAAAAAAACGAATAGAAGAAGACAGCACCCTAAGGGAACCGTATCCCTAAACCCTAAACCCTAAACCCTAAACCTCTGTTTTCGACCTGCGCCTTGAACCCAAGAGTCCAAGAAAGCGCTATGCACCCATGAAGCCCAAAAACTCTAAAACCCCTTAATTAAGGAATATACCTTAAATTCTGCCTTAGATCATATTAGGGACCCTATTATAATTTAAGGTACATTCCTTAATCAGGGGGTTTTGGAGTCCATGGGAAGCCCTAAACCCTAAACCCTAAACCCTAAACCCTAAGCCGTTCCTAAGAAGAAGCCCTCAAGTAGGTTCGAGGCCAGGCGCTCATGACAATCAAGGCGGACGGCAGGCCAATGCCTACTGAAACGCCAAAGATGGCCTCGGGGCAATTTCGGGGTTTAGGGTTTAGGGTTTAGGGGAATTTCGGGAGCGAAGAGGAAAGCTAGAGCCTGGGATCTAGATTAAAGGAACCTACAGGTGGGGAGTTTAGGGTATATAGACCTTCTATAAGGCTTCTATAAGGTATAAAGACCTTCTATAAGGCTCCTATAACGGTAACTACCCACCTGAAAATGTCCTAGACTAGAGTTTAGAGACAAAGTGTTCTGGACGCTGCAAAAACTCAGCGTTTAGCAAATGTTGCTTCAAATTGTTCTGGAGAGAACATGGAAAATGGCAATAGAGGATATAGTAGTTACCAAGGTAATGTAATGTAACTTACATGTTATGATGTACCACTTAAAGAGTCGCATACAAACAGAAACTGTAGATTCAGTAGTTTACAATGGCATACATAAATATGTACGTGTATGTATGTATGTATGTATGTATGTATGTATGTATGTATGCGTGTGTATATGTATATATGTATGTATATATGTATGTATATATATATATATATATGTACATGTGTGTATATATATATATATATGTGCATATGCGCTACACTCTGGAAATGTAGGTTTGGTAAGGGCATGCTGACCATGCTTGCTGTAGCAGCTAGGAGACCAGACTGAGTCTGCGGTGTGAAGTCTGGGAAGTTTGGCGACAATGCTAAACTCGAAACCATAAACACCTAATGTAGGAGCCTAAATAATTAGAATAGGAGTTTTGGGCCCTGCATACTATAATTATAACAAGGAGCCCCCCAAAAAGTATAGGTAATTGCTGAGGCTTCTATAGTAAGCCATGCCCGGTCATAAGCAATGTAAGAGCTCTAAGAAACAGCGCGGAGTGACTCCTGCACTAAACCCCAAAGCCCTGGCGCGCCAGAATACTTAAACCATCAAGAGATTGTTGCAACCTAGCATGCCGAAACACCATCTCGACCCAAGAAAAAACACAAGGTGTGGTACAAAACCCCGTGTGAAGTTGGATCTTTCAGATAAGGCCCCTACAATAAAAACCCTGACTGTGCTAAAACGACTGAAGCCATACCAGCCCGTGCAAAAACCCTACCAAAGCACAATAAGCGAATCGTAGCAAACAAAAACTATCTACATAGATGCATGTGTATATACAGGGTGATAGGTTTATCACACGCACTTTATCAGACAGGCGACTGCCTCTATCGCGCGCAACGCAAAAACTTATCAGCCCTTTGAGTGCCTATGTCATGCGCGAAAGCTGGCATTTATCAGAGACATCCATTTGCTCTATCGGACTCTCCATTGAAAAGCAAAGCGTACTGTAGCTCTTCGTACTACAGACGCATGCAAAAGGCATATTCAGCTTCAAATCAAAACACATACCAATCCTGCTGCCGACGGGCCGCCCTAAACCCTAAACCCTGCTGGCGGCTGCTGTGTCTGTTGCCACATAGGAATCGCCATGCATTTTGAGTGGACGCCTACATGCATCGCTATCTGCCGACAGCGAGCTCCAGCTATTCCTACTGCAGCGTGCGGCGCTCCCTGACAAAGCGCTGAACACTGCACAGCGAATCATGCCAAGCAGCACAGCCCACGGCTAAAGCCACCGCGTCTCCTAAGGTGTCCAGGAGCCATCCCAGCACCGGGATGTTGCGGAACCTGCAGGGCATGAGAAAGTTGCTACAAGTAGGTTCTGTAGGGTGTCGACAAGGGATACTCTGGGGGCTTCTGTAAGGGTCTGCGAAGACGGTCTGTGATATGGTGGAATAAATGGAAAGCTGCCTTTTTGATTCTACCAAGTAGCATTAACAACGTTCCTGAGGTTATAGGGCTTCCTTTAACAGTTGCCTTATGCGTTCTTCAGGGGGTTCACGGTTTGGCGATTGGGGTGCATTAAGCTTTTCGGGTTTACGGTTCACAGCATGGTAGGTTTCAATGCTTTCTGATTGGCGCGGCTATTAGGTCGCTAGTTGTTGGTCGCTTTATGGCTGACGGTTTGGGGTTTTGAGGTCTGGGAGTTAGGCTTTAGCAACTACAAGTAGGGCCTTAAGTAGGGTATAGATTTTCGGGTTCTTAGGGCTGAAAGTTGTTGGGTTTCGGGTTGTAGGCTTTGGGGTTGCATGGTGGGGAACGAATTCGAGGGTTTCGTGCTTCGGGTTTTAGCTTTGAGCTGTCGGGAACAAGCTTTTGGATGGTTGTGGCATGCCCGGAATCCTCAACCCTCCATCCCACGACACTGATGTGCCCTGAATTGCTGACCGTGCAAAAAGTGCATATTAATGGCGTTTACCAGAGCTGAGGGGTTGTAGAAACCTGTATTGCAGTAGCCTTGGAACCCGCAAAAACAAGCAACAAATAGCAAGAGGTTGCTTGCCCAACCCTGATATAAGGGCCTTAGACTAGGATTTTGAATAAGTTATAGGGTAGTTATACTTGAAGGAACCCTATGGGACGGCTTTGCTAAGTATTCATATGAAACCCTAGCCGACTGCATCGTTGATAGACGTAACTCGTATCACGATGGCAACATGGTGAAAACCCATGACAGTATGGGGATGACGATGACTCCAATGACTTCCATGATGACAATTTTTTCACTGCCCATCATGGTAAACACTGTTAATGTAGGGGCCCAAATAGTTACCAATAAGTTACCAATACTATTTCAGAGGTCCTTAGGATAATTCCGGGATAATATACCCCAAAACCCTATTCTAATTGTGAAGGCCCCGATGCTACAAACAGGGCTTTCGGGTGTTAGGGTTGAGGGTTTCGGGCTTTAGGGTCTTACGGTTTAGGGTATAGGGTTTTAGGGTTCAGGGTATAGGGTTTTCGGGTTTAGGGTTTAGGGTTTAGGGTTTGGGGGTTTGCAGTTTCGGGGTTAAGATTCTGCACACACCTAGACTACAGAGCCACTTATGGATAGTAAGGCTTCCCTTTTGTTGGATCCTAGGATCAAGAACTCAAAACACTGCCAGGGCACCAGGAGAAGAACTGATCCACAAGATTGGCAAGTGTCTGCAGCGGATTCCTTGGATTGGGATTTAGACATTCCGGGATGGGATATAGGGCTTGGCTGGGGGAAGCCATGTCGAGGGATGTGATCGTGGCGCTTGCTAGCATTCGTAATCTTTTCTTTGACTGCAAACTTGCGACAGCAGATACCCGTCCCAGTAGGAGCTGTCGGCTATCCGAAGTATCACCTCCACAGACAGACCGACAGACGGACATATGTACATACATACATACATACATACATACATACCTACATGCATGCATGCGTGCGTGCATGCATACATACCCGTATGTATGTACATACATCATCCGTACAGACATATATACATACCTTTTGCATGAGAACACGGGCGCTTACGATGCGATGCTTGAAAGCTTTACGGCAAGCAAGACAGCTTGCATCGGTTTGGGGATTCGGGTACTTCGGTTTTACGAGCTGCCATCAATGTCAAAAAACGACCTGAAACGGCAGAGATTGAAAATGATGCCCTGCCGAAGCGCAGGAACATGACCACGCCACCAATGCATAGACAGATGCCGACAGCTCGCAAGAGCCATGTAGAAGTCCTGTGGATTGGGGCGTAGGGATTCCAGGCACATTAAGGCCCACATCCCCATACCCGGAGTCCCTAAACCACTCGAACACTTCACTAATCCAGCCTCTCTGCACCCCTCTGCCGGGAAGGCTTCGGGCAATAAAGCCCAAAATCTAAGTCCTAAACACACAACGGGTCAACATGACAACTGAAGACTTCGACTGGGCTCTATGCTGGTGACCCATAGGCCCATGGCGATCCGAAAGATACTACTTGTACCCTTACAAGAAGAAGTTTATCATCAAGGGGTCTAAAAAAGATTAGGGCCTAGGGCTACTGCAGTTTTGTTTACTGAAACACCGCAAGGTGAAGTCCTGAAACTTGAACCCCTGTATCTCCTCATCTTACGAGCCCTTGTCAGACTCATTTAAAGCCCTTGCAAAACCCCACGGGCAGCTCACACCTCCTCCCTACACTGACCCTGAACAGGGCTTGTACAAGACCCTCCCAGTTTTCGTTGAAGTGAGGTCTGAGCGTGAACAATGACCATGAACCCCTGAACCCTTGAACCCCCGACCCCAAAACTCCAACCCCACAAAACTCCCAATAAAGCCTACAATCCCTTGCACAACCATGAGGCCCCAAAACGCTGAGGCCCCAAACATATTCACCCGAAAGGTGCGCGGTCAAGGGATAGACACAAACATTCCGCTTTATAGGGCGCTATAGGGACTTGGCTTATGACGGCACGTACAGGTTGTATACTTCATTGCGCTTTGGAAGGGCTTTTTGAAGGTTTGACAAGAGTGTTTCATGATATTTTGTTAAAAGGGCGTTTGTTTAACATCGTTGCGCTGGGAAGGGGTTTGGGATGTAGCTTGATGAGCGACTAAAGCCAGTAGGATGTCAGGTTTAGGGCGTAATGCTACAGGAACTGTAGAGGCACATGCCTGTCAGTTCTCATGCGCCTGATTCTACCCCACCACTCTCCTTAAAGGCTGCTATAGTACGAGCCCAAGCCTAAAAATCCCTTCTCCAATTTAGCGGAGGGGCCTATGAATCCGTGGTCTACAGGTCTGACAAGGTGTGGGAACCGAAAATCGGAGGACCGTGCTTGAACTGTCTCTGTTTCTCATTGGGTTGAACTGGGGTTTAGGGTTTAGGGTTTAGGGGTCTGTTTTCTGGCAGGGCGGCATATTCTCGCTCTCTGCATCCGATATGAGCTCCTGCAAGCGCCAAGACATGACCCTAAAAGAAAGTTGACGGTTGAATGTGGAACCAGCCCTATGTTTAAAACCCTAAGCCAGGGTTTGTTCAATCCCTTAACCCCCAACTCTACCCTGCACCGTAACCCCTACTTCCTAGACCTTTCCTTTGTGGCCTCAAACCCTAAAACCCTGAACCGTATGTATCATAAACCCGAATGCTGCACCCGAAACCCCAAGCGGTCAAACCGTGCAATGCCTGCACCTTCTGAACTTCTTAACCCTCACTTTCAATGCTACGCCCTGCATTCCCGAAGAGCCCAGTACCCCTTGGTTTTGTAGTGGTTTCTGTCAGGGCTTTGCAGGGGTTTCATAGTGTTGTATATGGTATGAACCGGTGTTCACGGAGTACATCTCGAACTATATAGAGCTGCATATGATTCAAAGTTTATTACTTGGGTAGTATTATTAGGGGTACCCCTTAAAGGGTACCCCTTCTGAACTCTACTTTTGGCTCTCTTAAAAGTCTATATTTCCAAGGGTCCCCTTGATCCTAGCTCCCATACTAAACTTGCTAAACTTAACCCTCATCCATAAATCCTTATAGACTAACGCCCATTACGCCCTAGCAAAGCCTGTATTGAGAGCACACGGCCCTTCAGCTGGGCAGCTATGTATTTCGCACGGTGCGCAACCTGCGCCTACGAACCTCAGATCCATCGTGTGAGCCAATCTGTGGAATAAACCCCTAAACCCTAAACCCGTGAATCCCAAAACCCCTAAACCCTAAACCCTAAACCCACTTGGCTTGGGGTCACCATGGCCACAGTCACCAGAGCAGGGACAACAGAACCAACACACGGCGAATATGAAAGCAAGGGCATGGTTTAAACATAATCGTTGCTACACTTGAAACTTGAAACTTCAAGTTGCAACATTTAACTGCCAAAAAAACACGACTTCTGGTTTCCGGTATCGCCACGTATCACCAACAGTTCGGGACATATGCTTCCAATGTAGGCGCATCCAAGACAGTTCCTAAAGAAACCCGTTCTTGAACTGCAAGGCGATAAGACGTAGCTCTGTCCAACATACCCGAAGGGTCCCTATTGACCTAGATAACTACCATCCGCAACCACCAAAGTACCTTATTCTTGGGTCCTTTGGACCCTTAGGCATAGCTTCTTGAGTTGATATGTAATCGGGCCGACACTTGAATGAAGCCCTAAAGCATCAACCCTACAGCCCAAACCCTGAACCCGAAACCCAATGAGGGCTTAGGGTTTAGGATTAATGGTTTAGGGTTAAGGGTTTAGGGTTTACGTTACCCTGGACGTCACATCATAAACCCTGAAACACCCGGGCCCTTGGCCGGTATACTGAGCAAAAGACTGACACGCTGCTGACGACATTCAGGCTTCAGAAAGCTAGGCGTGCCTTACTTAAGGGGTTGAGGCTGGGGATATAGGGGCCTTAATAATTAGAGTAGGGTCTGGGGGTAATTGAATTATAATAAGGATATATTAAGGAACCCCCCCCCCAAAAAAAAATAATACTGTTGATGGACAAAATCCTGCATGACCTTATATACCTAAACTATGGGATTTATGGTACTATACTATATTTGGGTCATGGAGGATTTTGTCCATCAACAGTAGTATTGGTAATTATTTCGGCCCTTGAAGTATGTTCAAACGGTGCCTGGTCAGACAGAAGCCCTTCAGCGAAGAGATCGACCTTCCAAGAACAAGAGGACAACGAAGCTTTAAGAAAGAGCCAGAAGGCGTGAGTAATACTGAGAAGCCCATGCATCTCGGGAGTATTCGTCCAGGTTTTTCCCTAAACCCTGAACCCTAAACCCTAGACCCTAAACCCTAAACCCTAAACTGTGGCTCCACTCTCCTGCTATTGTGGTTCGTATCCTTAAGCTCGCAGCTTTGCCGATACTTCCCGAACCCTGGGACCCCCAAAAAGGCTTCTGCCCACGACTTTGCAGGGTTGGGCGGGTGATGGAAGGTAGGGGCCTTGATAATTAGAATAGCGTTCTGGGGCATTCTCTACTATACTTATACTAATGATCTCCCCCAAAGTACTGTAAAATATATAGTATGATAATATAGGTGATTATGAGGGGTCCTAGAGTAACCTACTGAATCCAGAAGGTTCCTTTTGAGGTTCCTTCAAAGGGTCTATACGGGTTCTACACTCAGAGGTTTCTTGTCTTTAGCTTATTCAAGCTTCTTTGGCTCTTTGGGGGCCCCTAAAGCCTAAACCCCTAAAACCTTCAACCGTGGCTTATGGCTTCAGCTTTCAAGGATTCTAAAGCTCTGGGAGTCCAGCGGTCTAGGTGACGTTCGGGCCCTTGGACTTTAGGGACACTGCGCTAATGTATGGGGCTTCAATAATTGCCTATACTATTGTGGGAGTTCTGTATTACAATCATGGTATAATGGGCCCCAAAACCCTATTCTAATTGTTAAGGCCCCTATATTAGGCAGAGTCGTAAGAAAGGAAGAGCACTACTGAAGGGACTTCTTGGCCTTGCATTAGTGTTTAGGGTTTAGGGTTTAGGAGTTTAGGGTTTAGGCAATCCGAGGGAATAGGTAGCTTCCCCGGATCTAGAACACCCCCGAAACCTCGAAAGCCTCCACACTACCCTAGATAGGGGGCCGTAATAATCAGAACAAGGTTTTGAGACCCGTTATCCTAGAATTATGATTAAGGAACCTCCAAAATACGATAGGTAATTATTGAGGCCTCTACATGTAGGGGCCTAAATAATTACCTATACTATTTTGGGGGGCTCCTTATTAGAATTAGAGTATAATGCCCCAAAACCCTATTCCAATTATTAAGGCCCCTCAACCCTAAACCTGTATAGTAGCCCATTATAGAACCCTTTACGGAACCCTCTAAAGGAACCCCCACAACCCTTTTGTTATCATTATTATTATTGTTATTATTACTATTATTATTATTATTATTATTAGTATTATTATTATTATTCTTAAAGTCCCTTTTTTACCTAGTAATCCCATGTGGGCCAACCCAGACCTCGTTGTAGCTCCCTCCCGAGCAGAGCCAGGAGGGCGGAGCCATCCAGGGTCCTCCGCCAGCCGGAGTGGACCAGGTTTCGGGTTTGTTTCGGGTTTAGGGTTTAGGGTTTAGGGTTTAGGGGTTTCGTTTTTTTAATGGGCCTTTTTCCAACTGCAGAACAGCTAGAAGTCCTTACCAGGCTGAGCCTACAAGCGGTTCAGGGTTTAGGGTTTAGGGGAGGCGGGTTTGAGGTTGCGGGTGAGGTGCAAGTTTGGGCTTCGCATATAGCACGTTGGCTCTGCAACATATGGCTTTAGGTAGTGTTTAGAAATGAACGAACCAGGGAGGCAATACTCCTCAGATCCTAATAAGAAGTCCTGCCCTATCGTCTACAGCTTAGCAATGGGGTGAGATTCTCCCCAACCCGGAGACTGCGAATCCGCTTGGCCGTCATAACATACGTGTGCAAACCAGAACAACCGAATTGCAACAGCCGGTCATTGTCAGACACAAGGTCCGTGGCAAAAAGCCTCTCAATTCCAATTCCACCCTGTGCTCGACTGAAACGGCCAGGCCAGAACATGTGAAGGGTTTTGATATTGAGAAGTTGATGCCCTAAACCCTAAACCCTAAACCCTATAAACCCTATAAACCCTAAACCCTAAACCGTGGCGAGCTCGGCCGTGAAAAGTGCAAAGCCGGTCTGGCCCCGGTCGCGTGTACTACCAAGTTTGGCCGCCTCTTGGGTTGGATCGTGGCAGGTGCGATGTCGTCTTAGCCGTCTTAGCCCAAAAGCAAGGAAAGTTTCAACGTCTACAAGGCAAAGGAAGTGCATGTGGACGGTATTCAGAAGAAATGCCCAAGGTGTACGAACCCTAAACCCTAAGCCCTCGTCTACCCTTCATCGATTTAATTCGGCACCTTGCGTTGACTGCGCACCGAAGCGTTTCATTTGTGCTGTAGGGATTTAGGGGCTTAAGGGTTTGGGGATTTAGAGTTTCGGGGCTTAGGGCTCTCGGGGATCGGGTTTGGGGAACCCTCAGCTCGGACTCCAAATCGTCTACGCCAAAACCGCCAAAACCCTAATGTCGTGGCCTAAGTAATTCAAAAACCAGGGTTGTGGGGTATACTATACTATACTTGTAGTTGTGAAACACTCTATGTGCCAAGCCTAAACCCTCCCGAACCGGTCTTGTCACAAGCTTGCGACCACGAGCATTTCGCAGTTCGCCGATGTGCGATGCCTCCCCAGTACACAGCGCAAGAGAAGAGAGTATTTTATGAAAGTCTCGATGGCGATCCAACAAACCCTAAACGCTATATCCTCAAAGCACCGAGCCCTAAACTCGACACTTCTACGGTTCTACGCCCTAGACATCAAAGACTGCTTATTGCCAGGTTACAGTACCTAGCATCGTTCGGGGCTGTTTAGGGTTTGGGGTGTATCGGGATTCTAGATGGAGCGTGAAAGACAGGACCAAGCATGAGACTTTTTCCAGGAGGGTCTTTCACGCAAGTATGTTGGGGAACCTGACGATTGCAACATGACGGAGTATTCAGGCTCTCCTATTAGACCGCTGCATTATGGTTTTTGTTGTTGGGTACTTTCAGTTTGGGGTTTAGTTAGGTCTTCCGTGTTTTTAGGGCCCAGGCTAGGTAGGTTTATGTTTTTTTAAACAAGGGGTCTGCTCAAAGCATCCGGCACCAAGACACGCTGCACGTTCTTCAGCAGAAAGAAGGCCAGGTGCCCAATGCGAGACAACTTGCGCTTCTGCGATGGCCAACTCAAATGCTGTCTTTAAGCCACCCGTGGACGGCTCTCCCAAAAGAGCTAGGACAGACAAGGCGTGTTGATGCAGATTTCTGAAGCAACGTGCTCAGCGTCATGCCTTCCTCAACCAGCACCAGGGTTTGTTCGGCTGATCGCTTTCGCATGAGCCCTGCGCGGCCAGAACCCGCAGCTTGTCTGCTGGGATCCCGTGCATGCAAGCAGCTGTGCTCAGGTTTGACTGCAGAGTGCAGTCCTGGCAGCTTGGACATAGGGCACAAACGAAATGTAGCACACCGGCCACGTCGTCAAGTATGGCGCATCAGAATGCTGATTGTCATGCTGCACCCCTCGCAGAAATGCCCGAACAGAAGATAAGTCAAGCAAACATGTAGGCAACACAGTTCATACAGGGATGTGTTGAAACTTCTGCGGCGGTCACAGAGAGTGGCTCTATCTGCGCAAGTCGCATGGATGATTTTGCCTGTGAACCTGGTTGGTATCTTCGGTAGAGCGGGCCGACACCCCACACCGGCACCGCACACGAAACAAAGCCTGAACCCCAAATCGTAAAGCAAAACCCCAGACGCCAACACCCTTAACCCTACCCTACACAATGAACTAAAGACAGAGTTGTGATTACGGTTTGCTGCCTCTCTCTCTCTGTCTCATCGTTTACGTGTGCATGTACGTGACTGTAGGTATGTATGTATGTATGTATGTATGTATGTATGTACGTACGGATGGATGGATGGATGCATACTGCATGCTCGAACATGCATACCGTGCTACTAGTTTCATTTCACGAAGCGTGTGCGCTTTCAAAAACCTACTATCGCATTTCATATTATATGTACATCTGCAGAGGGTTTAGGGTTTAGGGTCACTAATATTCACGTTCTGCCCAACGTCACGCACAGATATTGTAAATGTTGACCCGACCAGCCTCTGTCGCGGAGGACTTGAAGTAACCTTGGCTGCAGACGCTTAGAGGATCCTGGGACTTGGTAGCTCCGGCTAGAAACAAAGTGACTAAGTCATAAGTGTTTATGATCGCAACTAGGGGACTTAGAACCTTACTAACTAAATCGACTACTGTAGGGGCCTTACTAATTAGAATAGGGCTTTGGGGGTTCCTTATTAGGCCCCCACATTAATCCAACAAGTACGAGGACTTTGGGTGTTTCGGGCAGCAAAGCAGCCTTGGAGGCTCGAAATGCTGCTCAGGATTCGTGGGGTGATGGCTGCCCTACCGCCTCGAAAATAGGGTTAAGGGTTTAGGGTTTAGGGTGTAGGGTTTAGGGTTTAGGCCAGGCAACAACCCCAAACCCTAAACCACAATTGAGGTGTTTTTTGAAGACCTTCTTCCTGGCAGCTACTCCAAGGGAGCCTGTTTGGAAAAAGGTCCGTTTCGCAAAGCCCTCTCACTCTGCGGGAAAAGCCTTTCTTTCGACGGTTTAGGGTTCTCAGGGTTTAATTTAGGGGCCTAAATAAAATTATGAATACTTGCTTGGAGGTTCCTTAGTATGAGTATAGTCTCATGGGCCCCAAAACCACCCTATTCTAATTCTTAAGGCCCCTAAGATTGTCGAGACCTGAAGCTGCTTTAGAAGCTTTTGCGCAATAGGCATCGGTCCGAAGGAAATTCCTCCATAGAGCCATCCCCAAAACACAGGCGTTTGGGGGTTGAGGTTTTGAGAGATTAGGGTTCAGGGTCATAGGGCTTAGGATTAGGGGCGTGGGGCTCAGGGTTGAAAGCCTGCGGGTAGAATATGGGATGGTCGACATTGCTGATGCCGCAACGGGCAGCAGTATGAAGACTTGCTACTCCGTAAGCCCTAGATAAGGCTCCATCCTAAACCTGAGACCTGCTACGTCGAGTACAGCAGCAGGTGAGAATGATTCGGGCTGTGGGCAACGTACAGCAGACTGGCGCGAATGGCTAGTGTTTGCACTTTCGCACCTCAGTCTCAGTTCTAGGACAGTTTGATGTCAAAGTCTGACCCCTCTGATACACCGATGCCTCCCCGAAGGTGAAGTCTGACTGCAATCAGGCGGACTGATTCGCATGCACCCGATCTCCTCTACGCCAGAGCAGGTTCGGGCGGTGTTGCCTTCAATCGCTATGTCGTCAGACCTGTGGCAAGGGCCAGAAGCAAGCAGAGGGTAGGCTCTGCATGGAGCATGCTGAGTGTTTGTCAAGATGCCATCCTGGGGGACGCATATCATGAACAACAAACCGCTAGATGAATTCCTTCGCAAGAACCCAGTGGTTGTCAGCATGCATGGTTGAATGGACGGACGGATGGACAGAAGGAAGGAAGGAAGGAAGCAAGGAAGGAAGGAAGGAAGGAAGGAAGGAAGAATGGATGGATGCATGGGTGTAACTCTGCATGGATGTAAGGATGTATGCGCGTACGTAGGTAGCTAGGTAGCGAGGGAGGTAGGCAGGAAGGTAGGTAGGTAGGTAGGTAGGTAGGTAGGTAAGTAGGTAGGTAGGTCGGTCGGTAGGTAGGTAGGTAGGTCGGTGGGTGGGTAGGTAGGTCGGTAGG